GATCCTCTCCCCAATTGGTACTCACCTAGATCAAAGTCCCTCGCGCATCTGTTCCGCTTTCAGCTAGCCAGCTGGACTCTGTCCGTCAGGTCTCTCTGTCTGTAGGTGTGTCAGTACTGCATGTCTGTCCAAAGCCTGAGCTTTTTGGCAAGCTGCAAATGCAAACAGCGGAAAGAATCAACAAGACTGTAGTTGTGCGAGCGAGTGTGGGTGTGAGCCAGTCCCTTATCATATTCTTGCAAGAGACTCCTTGTCAAGTTGACTGTTTGTGTGCACATCTGTTATGTAGGAGACTTGAATGTTGAATATTTTTGAGATAGGGTGAGTGTGTGTATGTGTGCACGAGCGCACTAGCACATGTGTCTCTGTGACAAGATATTACAAAGACGTTTTATGAAGACTGTAGTGAGGTTTACACAACGAGGCGGAACAAAATGGGACAGGGGCCCTCCTTATGTGATTACACCCAGCATTAAAACACTAATCCAAACATAAACTGCATCTGGACTGTATCCAGAAAGCAAACTAAGCCACAGGTGTAAACAGAGCCGTGAAAGAATGCAATCATTTCTACAAATCAAATGATGGTACTTATAGCAATAAGACTGCAAGCAGGCTTAATACTGCTTGGGGTTTATTTACTTTGACCCATAGATATGGATAAAAATCTTTGTGGATCTACATCAGTTGTACATATTGCAGGTAATGAGATGCACACAGGACCCACAAAGACCCCAATAGCAGTACTACTATGTCAGAACAGATCCAGTCGTGCTCAACTCCAACATAAAGGTATGGTCTGGCAGTCTCATTAAAATCCTCCAAGTCTCATTCTCTTTCACATACTACCTCTACCTAAATAAACATGACCGAGGAGGCTTACTCGTACTCCACAAGCTCTGCCAACTATAGGCAAATAGGATTCCACAGAGCTGGCTGGTTGGATCTAGCAAACAATTATTTTGGAAAGGTTTGCAGTTTTTAACAAAATGTCTAGAGCTAAACAGTCACAATGATGCTCTCTGGGCTCATAATACAGCCAACCCATAAAGACGTCTGACATTAAAAACACTGAAACTAGAAAAACCCAAACCGGTTTGCTCATTTTTCATACCCAGCTCATAAATGAAAAAGCTGCATTTTAAAATAGATGCGAGTGCCCTGAAACTATATCAATAGCTGCAGAAATGTGAATCACAAGATGCCTCAGAAGTAAAATAAAGTCCGACTCTAAAACACTGACTTGTACTGTATTTGTCACTAAAATACTGTGCAACGAAAAGGGGTCTCTTCGCACCTCGTCTCTCTGTATTCACGACCAGTATCCAAATTGCCTGTGGGCTCTTACCTCAGAGAGAAGAGATGATCTACATGAATGGATGAAATACCTTAAGATCTGCATGTTTACACATACATACCAAGGAAATGTCAATCAGATGCAAAATACAGAGGTTGAGCCCTGAGCAAAATGTCAAAAAGGCAGCCTGGCTCTGTGATGTGTGTACTGTATGGGCCCAGCATCCTCTGATCAATAGTGCCCCTGAAATGAATATGTGATTGCGCTCACCGATTCAGCAAGGCAGATGTGCACTCAACCTGACAACAGAACAGACACCTAGTTTGATTAAAGCATTTTCAACAGGCAGGGCGGGGACAGGCGATCCTGCCTACTCTCCAGTAAGTCAAATGGGGATTTTGTTGCTCTTCATTTGTGTAATCTAGCAGTTAAAGTTGAGAGTAGGTCATTTCAGAAATCTTTTTTTTTCTTGAAGTTTTAATGTGTATTCCAGTTTTCACCACTACAAATAATGAAATACAGTAAGTACCTTAATAGTCATCTTTTGTTAGACAGTCTTGGTAGAATAGTGTCAGTGGTTGGACAGCCGAGCGGACCCGGCTCTCAGAGGCGACTGCCATTAAAAGCCAGGCCAGCCACTGCTTAACCTGAGCAAATAAAATGCAGATGCTGTGTGTCAAACCACATATGTCCTCTTTGCTTGGGTGAGGATATGAGTCAGGGATGCTTTGTGTTAAGGGAAGGTTAGGTCTGGAAAATGGTGTTGCTTACTGTGTGGCTCTGAAGATACAGTATATGACGGCATGGCCTGACACCCCTGTCTTTGGGGCCAAATAACGACTAAACATCATTTAACTAGTATAGTGAGCTTCTATATGAACACTCTCCAATTCTTTGGCACGTTTAATTGTTATTTAATCTGTCACTGTACACTGAATATCTTTGATTTATCCAGCTGGTTTTTTTGAAGACCTCAGCTAGGACGCGCAATGGTCGTTTTTCACTCAACTTTTTTTTTCACATTGTATTGACTAAACAATTGATTTAACAAATGCTATAATAAGCTATCAAAATAATTATTAGTTGCATCCCTAGTCAGAGCTCAACACATGGCAGAAATCAGAAGTGTCGGAACAATAATTTGGAACAAAGCTTAAAGTATTTACTGTTTTGGTTCATTCTCAGTGCTCTCATGGTGTTGCTTTGGACCACAGCAGGAAGACCACTTGCCAGAGAAAAAGTTAGCGAATAGCTGGTGAACACAGTTGAGTATTTAGCAGCCAGATATTTCCCTGAGAAGTTCAGACAAAACCAGAGCTACAAGGAGCATGAAAACCAGACTTACAACTGCCATCAGGGCAAAAACACAACTCCAATGAAAGCTTATGCTGCCCTGTCTGTTGCTGTATGTGATTGGACAACTGTTAGCTAACACGTCTGCTTTATATCACCTTAAAAGATAATAATAAATCAGCACTGTATTCACAGCTTGTTTCCACTGCTCATTCTGGCAACAAATCAGTTACTGAATCAGTTACTGCATGTTTAAAGAACGATATTTTGCATCAGACTCTATAAGAGGTGTGATACTGGGCTGTGACAGCAGTAAATGAGGTAGGACCTGGACCTTATAACAGCCTCATCAACAGTTTGGATTGCAGACCCTGCCTTCATGACCATCTCATCTTCTCCATCCTGCGTCATTTTCCCTCCTGTGACTCCAGCAGTCTCAAGTGGTCAGTTAGGGTAGAGACAAATGTCAATAGACAATCCAACCGGTCATGCCACAAAGACCTTACTGGTTGACCTCAGCAATGTCTGAGCAATGTAACACAGCCTGATCTGCCTGGGAAAAAAGGGTGGAGACAGAGCTGACAGACAGGGAGCTGGAAAACAAAAATATAAGAGCAGGGAAAACAGAGAGCAGAAAAATGAAGAGGCAACAAGACAGAAAGAGGAGGAAGGAGGATGAAAAACAAGCCGATAAAACAGTGAGAAAGACTGCAACAAAAAATGAGACACACTAAAGGGATAGAAGACAAATGAAACATAGGGTATACAAAGATATGATGAGATGGGGGCAGCACCTAAAAAATGTCATACTCACTTCTCCTCTCAAAACAGTGGAGAATCAAGGAGAAAGAAGAAAAGCTTGTTCCTAAAACCTGCACAAACTTAAAAAGACTAATATGTGGAATGGAACAAAATGCCAGGGGATTATATCGAGTGTTTGGCTACGTTCAAAAAGAGCCACAGAGGAAGAGTAACTGACACAATTAAGAGCATAACTGTCATCACAGTGCTGCCCACACATCGGGCAATACATTGAGCAACAGACCCATCATAAAGAGGAATGAGGAGCTGCTAAGTCCCCCTAGCAATGCAACACTAACTGCTAAATAGGAGACACCATGGCATAAAAGCTACAGCAGCCTAATGCAACAGGAGCATGAGATACCTAGACAAAATCTTTATCACATCATGTCCCCCCTCTCATTTGCATCATGAGAAAAAAAACAACTTATAAATGTATTTAAATATAATCCTGCTGACATAAACTAAGTACCACCAACTCCAGACCCACATGTGCATCAGGAAAAACAAAACAGTGATGTGTGAATGGGAAACCAATCACAGGTGGATGCATATTCTCACTCAATAAAATACAAACTAAATTTAATAAGCTCTCAAGCTCCTCCACGGTGACATTCTCTCTTCCATTTCGTAGTCCTTTACAACTATCATTCACCTTACCTCCATTTCTCTTTGTCATCACTACCGCCTGCCCTTCCTCACTCAGTTTTTCATTCTAAACCCACTTCAATGCCCCCATGTTTTTCTCTTTCCATCCAAAACAACAGCCATTCCAGAATGAGGGCCATCAATCTTCTTCAATGAGACCGGAGTGCGAGAGAGTGCCAAGGCTACAGAAGATTACTATCACTCCTTACTTCCACTCAACACTGGATAACATATCGAAGGAAAGGATGAGACACAAAGGCAGGGAGTGTCGAGAGTAAGTCAAAGAAACAATGTTAGATAGGAGGAGGACACATTAGATCTTAAAAGCGTCAAACTAACTTCAACCCCCGTCAACAACAAAGGCTTGTCAAGTAAAGAAGCACAGCAGCTGAATTTGAAAAAATCCTAGCTTGCAACTCGAAACATGACCTTTGGTGTCACACACACACACACAGTTCTCCTAACAGAAAGAAGGTTTAGCTTATAAGAAGTTCAAGTAAATACAGTTATAAAGGATCAGTTATCACCTTCTGTTGGCTAAGAAGGCAGAAACACAGTGATTTTTAGTGGTGGACTAATTAGTGGTCATACCAGGGTAGGGTCCAGTTCTTGTTACCATTGCTAACTCTGAGAGACGAGGCAGTCCAAGTAACTTCAAAACAGTGCTGATTTATTCAAAGGATCACAGGTAAAATTAACATTACACGCTCAGATATCTTGCACCTCCATACTGCACGCAGGCAGATGTAAGATGAAAGACCCTGAACCCACCAGGCCTATACATTATATCACCTCGTTTGGGCTAGCCCCATACTACACAGAAACGTCAACCGAGACGTCTCTCTCACCAGCTTTGCAGCTGGCCATAGCAGTGGTCAAAACATGAAGCAAATCAACGTGTGAATGTGTGTCTGTTGGTTAAGTGGTGTGTAGCTAAAAACATTCTCACGACCTCTAGTACATGTCGTGACTTGAACCTAGGAACATTATGGCTAACTCTACAGTTATGCACATAATAATAATAATATTAAACACCCTGTCTGCTGACAGTCATCAACTCTTCTCTCTAGTTATCCTTGACCAGATGTACCCTGCAGAAACTCATAAGCATGC